AACGCGGCGGGCGCAGGGCAGGGTGCGGGAACGCGGCGGGCGCAGGGCAGGGTGCGGGAACGCGGCGGGCACAGGGCAGTGTGTGGGAACGCGGCGGGCGCAGGGCAGTGTGTGGGAACGCGGCGGGCGCAGGGCAGGGGGTGGGAACGCGGCGGGCACAGGGCAGGGGGTGGGAACGCGGCGGGCACAGGGCAGGGGGTGGGAACGCAGCACACAGCCCTCCAGGTCTGACGGCACGATAATGAGATCCAGTTAACCGGCAGGCGCTGGCACAGAGCCAAGCCAATTTGGGAAATATCTCTAATGCCCAAAAAGTTTATTTACCATTATTTTGTTCTTCAGAATAAGTGCAATGAGTATGTAATACGGGGCGTTTTTATCACCCTCCCAGAAACTAAGCAGACTGTTGGGCACTTAACTCCGTAATTGTCACACGGCAAATGGGAGCTGAATGGGGAGTAGAGTGTCTTTACGAGCCCCCGGTTTGTGAGGTACGAGCCGGCTTTGACTGCGGAGGCGGGCTCCCTGGAGACATCATTACCCGCGCGCTGGGTGGCTTTCTTGCTGTGGGATTCTCTCGATGAAAATCTCACACCGCCACACATGTGCTCAGTGGATATTCCTGGGGAAGCCAGTTCTGGAAACTGTTCCTTCCCTACGCATGGCACCGGTTCTCGGGTGCCGAATCCCAGAAACTTTTTATTTTGACTTACTAACAGATCTACATTTGTGAAGTATAGATTTTTTTGAGTAATGTTACTACTCTATACTACGCTGATGGCTGAGTATGGCCGGGGGATATAGAGTAATTGGCATTATAGGTTGGTTTGTCCTTGGTATAGTTTGTAAGCACCAGCCTGCTAATTCACTCTGTGTACTAACTCTCTAGTCTATGTGAAGGTAATGATGCTCCAGATTTACCCCTAAATACATAACAACTTATTTTTTGTTCTTTCTTTTTTTGTTGCACTGTAGCATTTCTTAAGTCCAGTGTATGAAAAATGCTAAAATTACAAACCAAAGAGGGGAAACCAAAAATTACAAAAAAAATTTTTTTTTAATACGGGGTGAGCAAAAAGCCATTGAATCCTTTACGGCACGATGAGTCATTCCGTTTTTAAAGCGGGCTTTACTTGACCTCACAGCGACACATTTTACCTGTTTTTGCCAATAAGTGCACAAAACTGCTGGTACAGCAGAAGATGTTCCTTCTAAACGAGTTTTATTGGTCCTGGACAATGAAAATCAGCTCATTTGTTCTGCAGCACCACTGCAATGTGTCCGTGTTTATTGGGCTGGCCAGATGCAGATTCGCTGTGCTGTTCCTTTTTTCGTAAGTACTCTGCTAAAACTGTACTGTCAAATTAAAGGAACGGATGGTGACCATGAGCAGCAGGCGCTTGTGTCAGCAGGTGTATGCTCACGGGACGCGGGCGTGGATGGGCACCTAAGGGGCACCTCTGAGTAACCCTGAGAGGTCTCTCACCATCTGGGCATCACTGCCATGGTGACATTTAAGGCTCAGTTTTTAGGGCTCCATCCATCCATCCATCCATCCATCTATTCATCCATCCATCTATCTATCTATTTTGTGAAACATACACAGATTACATATCTATATCTTTGTGGGGACTCTCCATTCATTTCTATGGGCAAAACCCTAATTCCACCAGTGACACCCCCTACCCAGCCCTAACCTTAATCATAAGCAAACAAACAAAATACAATTCTTTTGACATTTTTTAGTTGCATTCATGTATTTTTTTCATAAAAATATCCCCACATGGTCAAAATGACAGGCTTTCATCAGATCCATCCATCCATTCATCCATCCATCCATCCATCCATCCATTCATCCATTCTCTTAATCTGACCTGTGTCTCAGGTCCGCATGAAATGTGTTTATTTTATTTTTAAGGTCTACCTCAGTCTCTGGTCCACTGCACTTCATATCAGGGAATCACCGGTGCCTGTAATTCCCCGTGTTGCACAGTTTGCCCCCCCCCCCCAGGCTTCCGTCACGCTGGTGTGGGCCCCCCCCCCCAGGCTTCCGTCACGCTGGTGTGGCCCCCAGATACCTTCCGGCCCGCCAGGTTTCTCTGCATCACCACTGACACAGAGCGGTGCGTCCTGGCGGCTCCATGCCACTCCGCCTTGCAAACCCGGATATTTTGACGACGGCGGGGTCCCAGGCACAGGAACAAGACTACAGCGGGGTCCCAGGCACAGGAAAAAGACGACGGCGGGGTCCCAGGCACAGGAACAAGACTACAGCGGGGTCCCAGGCACAGGAAAAAGACGACGGCGGGGTCCCAGGCACAGGAAAAAGACGACGCCGGGGTCCCAGGCACAGGAAAAAGACGAAGGCGGGGTCCCAGGCACAGGGAAAAGACGACGGCGGGGTCCCAGGCACAGGAAAAAAACTGCTTTTTAGGTTCACACTCAACTGTGAGGGTTTCTTGTGAAGACAGATGCTAATCTTGTTCCTAGACATCCCCAGTGGCGATAAGGTGATACCTTATAGTTTCAGAGAAACGAGAAACGTGTAGATCTTGTTTTTTACCCAAGAAAATTTCCCACCACACCCCGTGTTCAGAAAGCAGGCCCAGGTTACCGGATTCAGTGCCACGTTTGTCCCTAAAGTACGGACAGCACCTTCCCTGCATGCGGCTTCTCCAGGTCGTTCCGGATCCTTCCTTTGTGAGCATCAGTTCCTGCATCCCGCATCCCACCCACCACATCCAGGAGCGACATTTAGGGCCCGAATCAGTGGCATGGTGTTAGGGAGGGTAGTCCCCCTTCCTGCAGTCCCGACACCGCCCCCCCCCCCCCCCCCCCCCCCCCCCCCCCCCCCCCCCGTCAGCCTCCCACAGGCCGCATTCGCTGGCGGTAACTCGTGTCAAATTTCACACTCTTCCGGCTCCGACCGCTGGCTGCACTCCCAGAGAGCAGCATAAATTAACGCAGCTAATTAACGCGGTGTTGGTCATTTGCGCATCGCGTGTGTACGCCGTGTTCATTGTTCAGCGAGACGTGTGGGCAGCGACGCCGTCGCCTAGCTAAGCTTCCTCGGCATCGAGCCGGCCGCTCGTCTGCGTTCAAAATAAACCAGGAGGGAAAACCTTGCCGGGAATTCCCGAAACATTGTCAGGTTCTAGGTTCTAAGACAATTTAAAAATGCTTTTCCTGTTTACTGTAATGAGGCCTGAGATATGGGTCATGCAGAGTCCGTCGGCGCAAATATTGAAAAAAATGCACAGTTGGTCATTTATAATCATCTTAATGATACTTACTGCACATATTTTTGTTGCTGGTTGTCAGCGTATATTTCAGGGGCCAGTTCATGTTTTAAAAAAAAAAAAGGTGGAGAAAATGTATATCGAGATGATTGTCCTGAGCTACTGGAACGAGCGCAAATTCAGATTTGATAATAAATGCAAATTCTGTACTGATGGTGGAGCCAATATATTTGCATCAAAAAGAGCAAATATACAATGAAATCTAAAGACGTTTTTGGATGGAACGAGTCCCGAACACCAACTGGTGGGATTCGCTCTTATTAGCATGTGACCCTGAGTCTGTAGAGCAGCATTAATATGTATGACTTGCCGCGGCTGTTTACCATCTCGATAAATATTTAGGGGGACCGCGGCTCGCCCCTCAGAAGCTAACGGGCGTGGGATTGACGTGGCTGCCCCGCTTTCGTCTGCCCCCGCTGTAGTGATTTTCCAGTCCGTTTGCCGGCAGCCCGCCATGCGTGGCTTCCGGAAGCTTCCGGAGCGGCTGTCAGGTGTGCTGCTGTAAATGCGGCTCCCTGTTCAGAGCGCTGGCCCATTTACTCCGCGGACGACCATCCCACCCCCCACCCCCACCGGGTCCGTCAGCCTACGTGTTCATTTACTGGTACCAGAGATCGTCAGCTCTACGTAAACCAGTCATGGTGGCTTCGCCCTTGCGGTGCTGTAATCTGGCAAAAGGGGGGAAAGCCGGTTCATGGAGGGTTCTGGGGGGGACTTTGTGTCGCGGGGCAGCTGGGCTGTGCTGATATGCAGGCTTAGAACCCAGAGCTGTGGGTTCGATTCCTGCCCCCAGGTCCGCCTGAGTTTGCATCCTGTGTGATTCCCATTGCAGGCTACAGACTCACAGTTAGGTAACATGGTGTCTCTAAAGTGCCCGTAGTGTGTGAGTTTGTGACCCAGCGGCGTGTTGTGACCCCACCTCCTGCCCTATGCTTCCAGGGACAGGCTGCAGGCTCACTGCCGCCCTCTGCTGGTGAAATCCTACTCAAACTCAGTGGGTGGATGGATGACCATCAGCATAACTGTATCACACATAAACATTCATATGAGTTTTTATCGTCTTATAATTACTAATTATCGGTGGGTCAGATATATTCATCTATCTTGCACTAAGTGAGTTCTATAATTATAACCTGTTAAAGAGCGATATTTACACAATATAATAAGCGTGTAATTGTCCTTCTGGGTGCAGAGCAGCAGTGTATTGTAGCTGATTTACTATGCAGTCATGCAGCACCTCCTAGCATTCAGCTAATAAGCATGAGAATGTGGGTCTAGACTAAGATCAAACGAAGATCAGACGAAGCCCCAACATTTAATCACCGCAGGCTAGACACTTAGATGCTTCATATAATCTTGTTTCTTTCCTCCCCTGGACCATATGACCCAGACCTGTAGGACATGCATCACTTACTGCCGTCTCAGGGGATCGACAAAGACCACGTATTGCTAATGGAGACCTTTGAGACTTCATTCCACCCTAGCTTGAGGATTGCAGCTCCAATCAAAGCCTTTTTAAGACCTGCCCGTGGTCTTTAGATTTCCTTCCACTTTGCTTAAGAATGTGGGTCGAGAAGCAGTGATCTTTGGGGAAAGCGCCAAACCCCTCACCTGTCCTCGGCGCCATCTTGGTGATGCCGATTCTCGATCCGTCGGCTGTTCCCCGTTTTCCTAAGCAGTCGTTCTTCCTGTGTCTCGCAGCCATCGGAAGGACGCTGATCCCTCGCTATTTCAGCACGGTGTTCGAGGGCGGTGTCACCGACCTGCACTACATCCTCAAACACTCCAAGGAGTCCTTCCACAACTCATGCATCACGGTGGACTGCGATCACTGCTCCATGATCACTCAGCACGGCAAGCCCACATTCACCAAGGTAACGGCCGCCGAAGGTCTCCAACGTCCGCCGCCTTCGGAAAGCTCGAGGTCGCACGTTTCTCGTGTGGGGAAAAGGAGTAAAATCACATCTGCCGATACAAACGTGCCATTTCACTCTCAGTCTAGATTTTGTTTTTTTAATTTTTTTATTCAGATTCATCACACCAGTTTAGTTTTTTTTTTATCATTTAATGTGTTAATTACCATAAAATCTTGGGTTTTGTGGCATGTCAGCACCACGCTGCTTGATAATTGTCTTTCCAAAAAAAAAATCTTTAGTGACTAAAAATTTCAGGCAGAGCCATTCAAATGGGCTGGATTCTTTATTTTTTATTTGTGCGTGAGATTGAGTGCGTTTGCCTTGGAAATCCATCAGGCCCGAAAAAGGTTTTTTTTTTTTTCTTTTATAATTATATTCGTCCCTCTAGAGGCGTACCAATTAAAAGGGGTCAGAATTAATTACAGCCAAACAGCTTAAAACAACAAAGCCAGCATCGGGAGGTTGGACGCGGTCCGGCACACGGGAAGCGGACCTCGGAAAGGGTTAAAACGTTCCACTAATCCGCCGACGCACTCGGAACTTGACAGCGTGGTGTGCGGAGCCAGCGGCTCTGTGTTTACGGGACATATAGAGGAATGGATCATTTGAATGGGGGAGGGGGGGGCATGATTTGCGCATATGTGTGCACTTCTATAGAACCCCCCCTTTGAATTTCCCCTGCCACAGCTACAGTTCAGCTGGATCCTGGCACGTCACTGCAACCCTCTCAAAGAACAAATTTAATGAAGTCTTAAGGAAGCAGGCCCAACTCACTGGCAACTTTATTAGCTATACCTGTTCAACCGCTCTGTGAAGCTGATCAGCCAATCACATGTCAGCGGCACAAAGTATAAAATCATGCAGATACAGGTCATACGGGTCGGGATCCTAAGTCCATGTTCACATCAAACACCAGGCCGGGGATGACAGGTGATTTAATTGGCTTTGAACGCGGCGTGGTTCTTGGTGCCATGTGGGCTGGAATGAGTATTTCAGGAACTGCTGATCTACTGGGATTTTCAGAAACAACCATCTCTAGGGTTTACAGAGAATGTGCCGAAAAAGAAAAAATGTCCAGTGAGAGGCGGTTCCCTGGGAGAAAATGCCTTGTTGATGGCAAAGGACAGAGAAGAATGGCCAGATTGGTTGAAGCTGATAGAAAGGCAACAGTAACTCAAATAACCACTCGATACAACCAAGGTATGCAGAAGAGCATCTGAACGCACAACACGTCGAACCTCGAAGCAGATGGGCTACAGCAGCAGAAGACCACACTGGGTGATACTCCTGTCAGAAGGAAGCTGAGGCTGCAGTGGGCAGACTCACCAAAACTGGAGAACGGAAGACTGGAAAAACGTTGCCTGGTCAGATGCGACTCGATTTCTGCTGCGACATTCAACTGGTAGGATCACAATTTGGTGTTAACAACATGAAAGAACGCATCTATTCTGCCTTATATCAGCAATTCAGCCTGGTGATGGTGGTGTAATGGTGTGGAGGATATTTTCTTTCACACTTTGGGCCCTTTAGTGCCAATTGGGCATCGTTTAAATATCACAGCCTACCTGACTATCGCTGCTGAACATGTCCATCCCTGTATGACCACAGCCTACCTGACTATCGCTGCTGACCACGTCCATCCCTTTGCGACCACAGCCTACCTGACTATCGCTGCTGACCACGTCCATCCCT